TCGAAATAAGAAGTTTGTGAAAATGAATATAATTTAAAACAGAAGTTAGATGAGAATTGCAAATTCGATGCTCAGTTACTTGGTTTGTAAAGCCTTGATGAAGCAGCAGGGGGCAGAGATCCATAGAGAGACCATTTGAAGGTTGGCATTGATAATAACTACTTACTTAGAAGTGTTTAGTAGGTTGAATTTCGGCCTATCCGACTCCTTCCTTCACTATCTTAATATGAGTCATTCTAATATCCTTATTGGTCAGTAGGCATCCTTGTGCTGAACAATAGAACCTTACGTTGATGGCTTTTACTCTTTCCTGATGCTTTCCGCATATATTTTTAGTTCAGTAAAACCATTACAAACAACATTAATTTATTTTCTACTGTGCGCTTTCCACGCACTGCCTTTACCCTCAACCACGATTTCCGTAAAAAACTTGGGCATGGGGCTTTTCTTATTTGACGATCCCCCGATGAATCGCTACCCAGCAAGGCTTTGTAATAAAATAGCCCAAACATAGGGCACCATAATAGACGTATTACAATTCTTATGTAGACTTCCTGACCTTTACTGCCTTCATTCCCTACAAAAAGGAATGGACGGTTAACTTCAAATTGCAGCTCAGAATATTAAGACGGTGAATACATTCAGCTAAGTTTGTAGTGCTAACCTGCAGAGAGAAGCGTTATCCCAGTCTCTGAGGCTTTCTTCTTCATTCTCGATCCCGCCACCAAATAAAACGCAGATATATTTATGTGCATAGTATTGGAGCGAGTCGGCTATGACCTGCACTTACAGACTATTCAGCTTTTGTCTTCGACATCTCCGCTAGGGAACATGAATTTGCTAATTCTCCCTGATTAGAAGCTGAATGAGAAACTGAAGAAGCTGAATGAGAAACATAGTTAAAGCTGAAGTTGAATTGTGATGCACAATATACAGATATACAACCCCACCAGCCTACTGCACCTTAATGGCGAAGGCTTAGGGCTGGAACCTATGCGTACTACAGGTCCGTCAAGATAATATTGTTGTTTGGTTTCTGCAGCGAAGAAGTTGTGTGGTTCGGCTTATGACAGCAATTGGAAGTAAATTTTCCATGTCAGTCCCCCTGTCACTAAGGCGTCTTGACTATTCTACAGCCGGTGCACTGCGACCACCGGTGTGGAGTGTCAGCTGAACCTTGAAGAACAGGCAGATGATCTCTATTCCATGCTACAATCAGGCCAGACATTTAACCACAAATGCCACGCGAGTAGGAGTTAGGTTTTGACTAACCTGTTGCTTTTCCACTTGAAAGTCTGTACTGTCGAGGCTCCCGAAGACCGCACTGTTTTCCAGCTCATCATACAGTTTTTTGACTTCTGCCAATTGGTTCATTTGCTCGAGGAAGCTCTTAGCGCGTTCACTGTAAGAGAAAGAAGGGTTATTAAGAATGAGACCTGTTTACACACTGAAAATAGGGAATGACAGCTGCAAGTAGAAGGCTCAAAAGAGGCTATGGACAACAAACTCAAAGTTTAGGAGGAAAATTCTGCTGCGTACATGCTTTGCCGAATGAGCAACATAACATTCTGCTAGGGCTCGGCCAACCGTAGTGGAGGTGTAGCCGACACCCAGTTACGCCGTGTCCGACGTCCTTGCTCAAGGCCAGCTGCCTCAAGGTCATCCAACATCGCAGTGAGCAATTTCGAGCGCGCGCGGACCTGTAGACACTTGTTTGGCATCCACGTGCACACACACACATACTTGCACCAGGTAGTCGGACTTGCTCAAGCGTCACTTGAACATGTCTCTTTTCCCATGCTTGGCCGATACAGCATACGCTACCAGACACGATGCCCCTCGGGCAATGCCACAAGCACCAATTGGAAAGCGGCTGCCACTAATGTCAGATAATGAAACCGAAAGACCAACTAC